GATATATTTGTCTATTAGCATCTACTGTTTATTTTGCTTGTTTCTGCTTCATTTGGATTCAGTTTGCTTTAACCAAATAATGTTCTAATTCCTATAGCAAGAAATGAAAAGAAACATTTGCCTAAAGAGCAGTGGCAAGTGTGAGATAATAGAAAGGTTCATGAGTTTTGGCTGAATGAGTCTTAACATAAAATTCTATGAAAGAAAGCACACAATCCAAAATTACAGAATACTGTAAAGGTTTGTTACAAGACAGAGTCATAGATATGACAAACTTGATAAAAAGGATGCCCAAACTCTACCGAATGAGTCAAGTGGATAGATGTTATGAAACATTATGTTCAAAATTACAGATAGGAGAGATTCCCTAGATGAAGAGCTACAGTCAATCAATGGCCACTGAGAAAAGGAAAAGCAGTCTTCTAAAGGAAGGAGCCACTGATAGATTACTCAAACCCAAGTAAGTGATCATTCCTAAACACCTGTACATAAGATCAGCACTATATGGGCTCAGTGTGTGTGTGTGTGTGTGTGTGTGTGTGTGTGTGTGTGTGTGTGTGTGTGTGTGTGTGTGTGTGTGTGTGTGTGTGTGTGTGTGTGTAGAGGAAAGGAACCACAGAAGAGACCATGAGCTTAAGAAGGAGTTGGAGGACACAGAATCAGTTAGAGGACAAAGAGGCAGAGCTGGAAATGAGTATTCAAATTTGAAGTTATCAAAACATTGAAATTTAAAATTAAGAAAAATCCTGTTTGTCTGAGGATCTAGCCATTGCTAACACTCCATACCTAACCACCCTGCCTATGTTATTGTTACTGCACTCTCAGAAAATTATCTTTATAGCCTCTTATCCATTACTTTTACCACACTCTCAGTTTATGTTTAGACCTTCCTAACCTTCTCCACTTCTCTCCTTACACCTTTCTTTGTTCTGAATTCTGAGGTTCTGTTTTCAACAGGGACATGAGAAATCATACATGGTGGTTTACAAGTCACATTATTTCCTTGCTGTTGGCTTTATGTTCTCATCATTTTCATTCTTATCTACCCACCACTTGCACAAGGACATCCTCTAGGATACTAACGATAATGCTATCTCAGTATAGATTACAAACTCTTCATGGATATTTCTCTTACAGATGCTATGCTGTTGCCCTTGACCTAATAATTATTTCCTACCTCAGGATAAACCACAAGCTCTCCCCATGGACATTTCTCATAGATTTCATGCTGTTGTCATTGACATACTCATTGTTTCTCTTACCCCTTTGTTATTTACTTCCCTCAAATATCATCTTGTCTCAGCGTCTTCCTCACCCCTTTGTTATTTACTTCCCTCAAATATCATCTTGTCTCAGCGTCTTCCTCACCCCTTTGTTATTTACTTCCCTCAAATATCATCTTGTCTCAGCGTCTTCCTCACCTTTATCCACTTTTGCTTAATTTTTCTCCTCAAGACCTATTACCATCAGACAGAAAATAAAATCTGTTTAATTTGTGCCTGTATCTTCTAAATTTCTCTTCTAACAAAAGCATGGAAAAAATTAACTCTGGGAAGGGGAGATAAAAAGGGAAGCTGTTGTGTATAGTAAGCTGCTCACACTGTCTGTGGAAAAAAAACTGTTGAGTACTGGCAGATGACTTCTGCTAACTGTGGGGGAGGTTCCAAGGCACAAGCCAGACAAAATTGAGATGTGTCTGACCCCAGGGGCACTGCACAAGAAGTTGTGCATGGGTGGAATAGCCTGCATGACTAGAGGAAGAATGGTCCTGAAGAAGTAGCAATTAGAGGTCCAGTAGCTTTCACAGACAGCTGCAAATGATCTCTGTTCCAAATAATTGCATACCTCCCTAGAAGGTCCCACCTCCATCACCACTGCCATCGTGGAGGGAGTCTTTCCCAGCCTGAGAAATCCCAACTACCACTGTTGCATTTGCCAAGGTACTCAGTACACCTCTGGATATTCTTGGCCTAACCTGTAGCTCCTCAGGTACCTGTCGCAGGCTAAGGGCCCATAGGCTGAAGAAATTCCTGAGGCTGAATCAACATGATTCTTAATTAAAAAGAATTTACAAAGCTCCTTCATTTTTGTCATCAAAAGAATACATTTGAAAGAGATTTGTAACAACAACCAGCCTGGGGTTGATACTTCCCATGAGCACTTGGGGGTGGTGGCCAGCTCCATTTCTCAAGGTGGGCCATGCCTCCCCAAAACCCCACCTGCTCAGCATCCCCCAGAATATACTGCTAGCCTGGAGGAGGGTCCTTGGAGTTTGGCCTCATTGGGACCTCAGTTTAGGAATATAGGCTTGCTTTGTGGGTGGGCAGCAGAGACCTCATGTAGTTTGATGGAAATCTACTGAGGTAAAAAGAGAACTGCAGTTGGGATTTTTTTTAGAGATGATTAAGTTAAAGTGAGGTCATTCAGGTGTGCCTTCTTTCTAAAGGACTGCTTCCTTTTAAAAAGAAAAATTCTGGACGCAAATGCACATAGAAAAAAGACAATATAATGCCCCTGGGAAAATTCAGCCATTTGTAAGCCAAGGAGAGAGGGTGGAACAGATCCATCCCTCAGAGCCCACAGAAGGAGCCACCCTGCTGACTGTAATTCAGACTTTTGCCTCCAGAACATGAAAATAAATGTGTGCTGGGTAAGCCATAGAATTTGTAGCAGTTCTGGCAAACTAATACACTCTTCTCTGTAATGCTAATGTAATTATCATTATGAATCCAAGAATGGCGTTCATGCTATTGGGACTGCAAAGCAATAATATATGTCTAATTTTTTTCATTATATCTTCACTCTAAGATTTTGTTAACTTAATCAGATAATAAAATACTAATGGGTTATAGTCTTAAATGCACAAATGTTTAATTCTTTCATGAATAATCATGACAGGTAATTTCTATATTTAATATCGTTTCACAGTTAAGGAATTCAGCTATGAAAATTATCACAGCACTGATCTCAGCAACAACTGGATTCAAATCAAGTTATCTGGCTGCAAAGCCTCTACCTTTCCTACTTTCTGCTGTATGCAGTATTTCTTACCATTGCTTGAGTTGTGAGGAATAGACTTAGTTATGGTAATTAATGCACTATATATTTGAATATTTTCAAAATGTGTGTCAAATAATGACTATAAAAATATCCCCACTCTCTAGAAACTTAGACTAATTCCCCTCTCCTTAAGCTAGGTGGGATTTTGTGGCTACTCAGTGATGCTTCATGGACCACTTAAGCAGGTTTTAGAAGATTCTATGCCCTCTAGCTGGCTCTCCACAGCACATACTGATCCTGGAGATGGGATTCCCTTCAAGGTTTGTGGTACCCAGTGAAAATGAGTGAGGTGTTAAAAAACCATTTAAAATGAAACATGACAACAGAGCATTAAAACCAGAGTGAATTTGTACAACAGAATCCTATGAAGGCAGCCTGCTCATGGAGCTAGCAACTATGGAATCCAGCCAGAGCAGGCTTAATGTTGTGTTTCAAGGAGTTAAGGCCTCTGTATCTGTTTCTAAGGATGCTGACTTTTTATTTTAATTGTATGCACAAAATAGGAAGGATTTATCACAAAATATATATCGTTTGATTTCTTCCTTTTCCTAATGCTTACTCTTTTTTACCTCAGGTCATAATATGTGCTATTTTCTCTGAGGGTGCTGAACACTTGCCAATAATCACTGAAGTAAAAACATCAAGTCAATGCATTGGTAGACATTTACTTTGGATGCAGAATATTCAACTTCCCTCATTTATATAGAAACAAAGATTTAATTTTATTGAATGGAATGTAAAATTCTCATTTCAAAATTCATCAATTGCAAGTGTAATGATTAAAATAGTACTTAAAAGTGGTTAGCATTGGTTATGTAGTCTTGAATACTCTAAAATTGATATTTGCTAGAGAATTTTATTTTCTTCTTATACTTATTTTTATTATTAACATATCTTTTAATTGATTCTTTGGGAATTTCACATCATGCACCCTAACCCAATTACTTCCCAGTCCCTCTGTATCTGCCCTTCAAACTTGTAGTATCCTTACACAAAAGGAAAATGGAAAAAAAATAAACTTAAGATAAAAGTTAAAAATAAATAAAATAAAAGGCAAATAATCTAAAAACCAAGAACTCCACCAAACTGTTTCCCTCCTCCTTTTCTGTCTCTCTATTACCTCATCATTTGTCTTAGCAGTAGTAGGAGCTGCTGTGTATCATCCATTATATTTGCCCACACAGCTTTGCTTGCAAATGTTCATTGTGTAATGTGTTGTTGGTCAGGTTCAAGGACTCTGGCTTCTGGGACACCATCAATACTGGACCCTCACTGAAACTACTCTCAGATATCCTGTAGTCATGGAGATCCTGCATCTATGTTTCTACAGGATCAGTCCCTTTAAGCACTCCAACAGGTCATAGAATGTGACGATGTTAGGGAGTGCCCACCCAGTGCCCTGTATGTGTGTCTGGGTAGTAGCTGGATTGTTCTGAATAGGCTGCTGGGACCTCTGCTCACTCAGGTGAGGGGTGGGACCAGCTTTCTCAAAGTGGGAGCTCTCAGGGGGGCGGTAGGCTAGTTTTCCTGTGGGCTCACTGCCCCCCAGCTTGGGCAGATGTTAACATGGTGCTGGTTGCAGCATGACCCTCAGGCACCAACACAGCCTTAGGTGTTGTTCTAGACCCCAGGTAGTTACCAGAGCCACGGGCATCAACACAGGCCCTGGCTGCAGGAGGGCCATGGACCCAGATGTGGCCCTTGGCAGCAGCTTGGTTGGGCCTGGTTGACCCAATAACCATAGGTGGCAGTGCAGGCCACTCAGATCTTCATGGTCCTGGCTGCAGCAAGTCCCTTGGTTCCTAATATGGCTATAGGTGGCAGCTGAGAAATCTAGGCATCTGTGTGACCTTTGGTGGCAAAAGGGACCATGGACATTAACACAGGCCCTGGTAAGTAGGCCTTCCACATGAGCCCATTCCTCGCCACCTTTACCTCTTCAGATTTGTCTCTCTCCATAGGAAATGAACCATTCTGCCTCTTCCCTTCTCTCCCATACCCCACAATATATTTGGTCACTATAATGGCACTTGACTACCTAGGTGGCCTCAGGTGTGCTGTGGTTTCTCTTCCCTGCCCAGGGCAAATGGCTCTGGCCAGGTGTGTGTGTCTCCATCTCTGCCTGCTTGGTCCTCCTTATACTTATTCTTCATTAATTAAATTCATTCTTTGACCATGAGGGGGCCAAGAAAGGAGAATAACAAGATACAGGTGATATGAATGGGAAGAATGGAAAAAATGGAAAGGGGAAGGGAGGTCAATACAGAGGGAGAGGATGAGACAATCAATGACAAAGATGCCTTAAGGAATATTATTTAATTTTACGTAAAATTACACATGCACACCACACACACACACACACACTGACTTGAGCTACAGAGAAATAGGATGCAGAAGGACTACATATATGAAGTTACATATGAGGAACAAAAAACTAGTATCAGACATGAGAAACCTTTTCAGTGACTGGATGTCCAAGAGACACTGAAAGCAACATAGGCTATTGCTCTTGCTCTTGGTTGTCTCCCAGAAGTTGAAGGTAAGTACTACTGATGACATCACCAGACACATGACTCAAATGTGTGCTGGATCTGATCTGGAAGCTTCCTCCCTGGTGTCTAGTTTTTATAGTACCAGAAATTGCTATGCAAGATGCCGAGAGAGGAAGAGATCAACAGTCCTACCCAGTCTTGTTGCCTAGAATCTACAACAATGACGGCCAAGGAAAGATATCTCTAAAGGTCCAATGGTGGTATTCATAACTTGGCAAGAATAAATAGCCGTCTAATTGGATTTGAGGCCAGCTCAACAAGAAAGAAATTGTGTCCAGTATTAGAAATCTAGTCAAGAACACAAGGCTAATAATGTTGCATATCTTAGAGGAGATCTACCTCTAGATTACCACTTTACTCAGCCAGCATATTTCCTTAACTTGTAATCTAGCACTTGCCCTTATACACACAGGTAAGTGTAGCTTTCACCCCTCATCAAAGTGGTTTCATTTTTGCAACACACTGAGAGTTTCACGGAAAACTGCAACTCATCAAAATTCGGGGATCAACCAATTTTGCTATACCCAGCTCCAGGAAATACATCTGCAACACAATCCTTGCCCCTAAGGCTCAGGGAATATCAATAGAGAGAAGATGAAAAGACTGTAAGAATGAGAGGACCATGAAGTCTTTCATGAGATTGTGTCTCCTAGAAACAATAGGAAAGCTACAACCATGATACCTCAATAGTATGGCTGCCTAAAAGAAGACCTGAACAATGACAGCCCCTTTAGACCTACTAAGGTGGAAGAGGAAATTTCATGGGGATTCGCACCTAGATAAAGAGCTACAGGCAACTATATGAAGGCTAAGAGAGGGAGAATTAGTCTTCCCTGGGGATGATCTCCCTAGTTGGTTATTCAATACCTAGCGGTCAGCTCTGAAATATATACACATAAGCAACAGTAAATGGATTCAGCAGGTTTTATACTATTGGCCTCTTTATTTCCCTTTAGCCACTGCATCAGAATTGTATTGTATTTTATTGTAAATTATATCTGTTAATTATTGTTTCTATCCCTTTTTAGCAGTGTTTTCTACAACTGGAATGCAGAGCAACCAAAACACACCTTAGATAACAAATACAATGCTAAAAGCACAGGATGTCCTTGTATGAGCTTCAGTCCAGTCTTACTATTTAGTCCAGTCTTACTATTCTCCTCAGCAGTGTGATGCCACATTCTGTTCTTTTCTGGGAAGACAGGAATCATGAACATGTTTCAGATTTTCTATGTTCTCTAGGACAAATGAAATGTGAAACAAGGTTAAAATTCATTTTTTGCATTTATGTCATAATTTGATTCACAAGATCTCTGGCCTGCCCTGCTGCAATGATGGTTTTATTCATCATGAGGCAAGTGAATGCAATGTTACTACAATCATGGAGGATCACAGGAACCAGAGTATTGATTTTCCCCCTTCACTTCCAATGAAAACCTTTGCAACAAGTTGGTGCTGGTTTGGAGTTTCTAAAGTTGAAAGTGGTAGAATGCGAACATTTTTCTTTCTCAAGGCTATAACTTTATTTTAGCTCACCCAATTCAAGAGGGAAGTTGTAGAGAAGATGGGTTAAGCAGTCAAACCTTGGTCTCTTTTGCAGTGGCTCTCAGAGCCTGTGGGCTATTCAGCTGCTAGTTCAGGAGCTCTAACAAAAGACTTTGCCTAAAGGCAAATGTCCATAGGAGCCACTTTCCCCTGGCTTGCCTGGCAGCTCTGCTCCAGGCTAAACTTATGGCTTTCATTTGCCTCACAAATCTGCAGTTTTTAACAACTGTATTTAATATAAAGTCCAATTCAGATTCTTATACTGTAAAAAGAAATTATCATGAATGGGCTTCAGTAGCTCTTCCTTTCATAAACTTAAATGATATTAAAATGTGGACCTTTGCTGATGAAGCTGTACGAGAGCACACATATCTCATCAACAACAATGTCTGAATTCTAAAGAGAAAGAGGGGAAGCCAGTATTTGAAACGACAAAGGTACAGGACCAATATCTGGGACAGACTTGAGTCAAGTGTGTGTTAACAACGCAAGTCTCTAATAGAGCATGAGGATTCACTCGGAACTCTATAGAAAAAGCACTTTGACAAAAATGGAGGAAATGTTAAGTCAGGTAAATATAATTATGTACAAGGAAGAGCAAGATGTAAGCACAATTAAAACCAAATTTGGAGAGATATATCCACAGCTAAGAGTACTTGGTGCTCTTCCAAAGGGCTGCAGTCCAGGTCCCAGTTCCCATGTAAGGTGGCTTACAGTGGCCTGTGATTTCATCTCCGGAAGACCACATGCCCTTTTTAGGCCATTGCACAAACATACTCCTACACACACTCACATACATACATATGTACTAACTCCCACTCACTCCCACTCCACTTACAAAACACTCATAGGCACACACACACACACACACACACACACACACACACACACAGAGAGAGAGAGAGAGAGAGAGAGAGAGAGAGAGAGAGAGAGAGAGAGAGAGAGAGACTAAAAAGTCATTAAAATTTAAATTTGGAGACAGACCCCAGGAACGTGGGTGTCAGTGAGGAGACCTCAGAAATCCATGGGGCCTCCTGTAGTAGATCAGTACTTATCCCAAGCATAGGTGTGCACTTTGGGAGCCCATTCCACATAGAGGAATACTCCCTGAGCCACAACACACAGGGGTGGGCCTAAGCCCTATCCCAAAGGATATGACAGACCCTGAAGACCCCCTATGGAAATCCTCACCCTCCCTGGGGAGCAGAAAGGTTATGTGATAGGTAGAGTTTTAGTTGGGGGTGGTAGGGGAGTAGGGGAGGGAGAGGGAACTGGGATTGACATATAAAACAATCGTTTCTAATTCAAATTTTATTTATTTATTTATTTATTTATTTATTTATTTTGGTTTTTCAAGACAGGGTTTCTCTGTGTAGCTTTGGAGCCTATCCTGCACTCGCTCTGGAGACCAGGCTGGTCTCGAACTCACAGAGATCCGCCTGCCTATGCCTCCCGAGTGCTGGGATTAAAGGCGTGCACCACCAACGCCCGGCTCTAATTCAAATTTTAAAAAATGGGAAAAAATTAAATTTGGCTACCAGATTGTTGTAAAGAAACTAGAATTTGATTGCTGTTTTAATGTTTGTAATTTTGTATCAGAAATAAAACATTCTAGTGAAACTCTCAGAAATACCTGTCTCTGCTGAATACTGTGAAAAGTAATGTACACATGGAGTTTAAGGCAAGTGGCTCCTTAGACGGTTGCTAAAGTGAGCATCTGAAGTTCACTGTGATCAAAAGCAGCAGACAGAAGATAGCTCCAGAGTAGTTGTTCAAGTGTACTTTTTTCTTTTTTTCTTCCTTTTTTTTTTTTTTTTATGCTGGGAGAAACACTATGACCAAAAACTATTTGGGGGAGGAAAGGGTTAATTTTAATTTACTACTTATAGTTCATCATCCAGCAAAGCTGGGGCAGGAGCTCAAGGCAGGAACCTGAAGACACAAACCAGGCAGTGGCACGGCTTATGGCTTGCCCCCATGTGGCATGACTTCCTTCCTTCCTTCCTTCCTTCCTTCCTTCCTCCTTCCTTCCTTCTTTCCTTCCTCCCTTACTCCTCCCCTCCCTCTCTTTCTTTCTCCCCCTTTTCTCTCTTTTTTTAACTTTTATTCTTCTCACATACATTCTGTTTGGCTAACAGTTTCTGCTTCCTCTCTCCTCTCAGTTGTTCCCTCATCTCCCCTGTCCCCCAGATCACTTCTTCCTCTTTCCTCCATTTCCCTACAAAAAAATAAAAACAGAAAAAAAGGGGGGGGGCAGGCTGGGCACAAACTCACAGCTGGATGTAGCAACTCAGTAGGATGAAAAGTGTCCCATGGTTGGGTGTCCCAAAAGAACACCAAGCTACACAACCATAAGGTACATGCAGAGGACCTAGCTCAGACCCATACAGGGTCTGTGTTTGTTGCTTCAGTCTCTGTGACCCTATGAAGCCTGCTTAGCTGATTCTATGGGCCATATTCTCATGGTACTCTTGTCCCCTCTGGCTCTTATAATTCATGTCAGGTTTCCATGGCTCTGCTTCTTGTCTGACTCTGGGTCTCTACATCTGCTCCCATCAGTTGATGGATGCTATTTCTCTGGTGACAATTAGGCTATCCACTATGAGTTTGTTTTCCCAGTCCTGTTTGGTTCTATCTATCCTGGGTCTCTGGGCTTTCCAGCTTCTGGTTCTTGGCCATAGAGGCAGTATTGGGCATGGGCTCTTTCTAATTTCATGGCCTCAAGTTGGACCAGTCATGGGTTGGCCACTCCCACAAGTTCTGTTCCACCATTGCACTAGCTCCATATTGCAGGCAGGACAGATTGTAGGTTGAAGGCTTTATGGCTGGGTTGATGGCCCAGTCCAGCTACCTTACATGGAACATGAACTGTTAGGGCTCTGTATCCCCACTACTAGGAGACTTCTCTAAGGTCACTCTCTTAGATTCTAGGGAATTTCCCTTGCATTGAGTTTCTGCATAGTCCCATAATCTCCAAATATCCCCCAGTTCCAGTCATCTCTCCTAGTCCTTTCTCTCCCTTCTCCCCAACCACTGCTTAACCTCTCTTGTTCCCATATCTACCCACTCTCAGTCCACCCACAAAATCTATTTGATTTCCCCTTCCCAGGGAAACCCATGTGTCCTACCTTGAGCCCTTGTGTTACTTAGCCTCTCTGGGTCTGTGGATTGTAGCATGATTATCCTTTACTTAACAGCTAATACCTACTTATAAGTGAGTACATATAATATTTGTATTTCTGGGTCTGGGTGATGTCAGTTGGGGTTATTTTTTCTACTTTTATCCATTTGCCTTCAAATTTCATGATGTCAATTTTTTAACAGCTGAGTGATACTACATTGCATAAATGTACTACATTTTCTTTATCTAGTCTCCATTGAGGGACATCTAGATTGTTTCCAGCTTTTAGCTATTCTGAATAAAGCTGTAATGAACGACATGGAGTATTACTCAGTGGAAAAAAACAATTAAATCTTGAAATTTGCAGGCAAATGGATGAAACTGGAAGAAAAAAACATCCTGAGTGAGGTAACCCAATAACAGAAAGACAGGCAAGGTATGTACTCACTCATATATGGATATTAGACATAGAGCAAAAGACTGCTAGCCTACAATCTACACCACCAGAGAAACTAGGAAACAAGGAGGACCCCAAGAGAAGAGCACATGGTCCCCTGAAGAAGGGGAGGGAGACAAGAACCCCAGAGCAAATTGGGAACATGGGTGGGGGTGAGGGAGGTGGGAAGGGGAGAAGGGAAAAGGGGAGGGTGGAGGAGAACAGGAGGACTGAGACAGGGGAGGGATAGAGGAGAGCAAGAAAGAAATGCCTTGATAGAAAGAGCCAGTATAGCTTTAGAGAGAAGTCTGGCACAAGGGAAATGTTAGGGGACCCACAGGGATGACCCCAACAATGAATCTAGGCAGTGGTGGAGAGGCTGCCACTGATGCCCTTCCTCCATAATGAGATTGATGACTACCTTGGTTGCCATTCCTAGAGCCTTCATTTGGTAGCTTATGGAAGCAGAAACAGGCACACACAGATAAGCACTGAGCCATACTCCTGGAATCCAGTTGTGGAAAGAGAGGAGGGATGAATAAAGGAACCAATAGGGTGCTGGAAAAACCCACAGAAACTGTTGACCTGACCTAGTGAGAGCACAGAGACACCAGTCTAAGACCTGGGGAACCAGCATTGGAATGAACCAAGGCCTCTGAATGTGGGTTCAGGAGTCCAAGACAGTCTATGTGACCTCTAACAGTGGAGCCAGTGTTTATCCCTAGACTTTGGGAGCCCATTTCCTGTGGAAGGATACTATTGCAGCCCAGATATGGGGAGAAGGACCTGGGTCTTCCCCCAAATGATGTGACAGACTTTGATTGTCCCCCCTCCCATGGAAGACCTTACTATCCCTGAGGAGTGTGTGTGGGGTGGGGTGGGGGTTTGGGGGGGGGCATGGGAGGATGGGAAGACAAGGGAATGGGGGAATTGATATGTAAATAAGAATGCTTCTAAAATTAAAATAAAAAAAATGCTGCAATGAACATGGTTGCATTTTCTTGCATTTTCTACATTATTATGCAGGCCTCTCTACTTAGGGGTTGGTACCACCCACAATGGGCTGGGCCAACCCAAACGAATTACCATTTAGCAATGCTACACAGACATGCTCACAAATCAGTCTAAACTGGGTGATTTTTCACTTGAGTTTCCCTCTTCCCAAGTGACTCACTGTTTGTGTCAAATTGACTGCAGATTCTAACTATGTCAACAATTGTACCAGATACAGTGATACCAGCTAAGCAGATTACATCTATCACATATTCTGTGGGTTGTAAAGCTTATTCAACATTTTCTAGATTCTTTCACTCCTTACAAGAAGTTGTGTCAATTACACTTCATCTTTGTGCAGGTGAGGAGATGCCCACAACACTCTGAAGCCTCCAGATTGTTTCTTGTGAATTTCCAGGGACTCTCAACTTGTGTCTATTACTGCCATCCAGTTTTGTTCATTTATGTACTTATAAATGTTTAGGCTGAACTTTATAAAGCCAAATAAACACATGACTCTCATATATGTATACATAAAATATATGTATTATTATTCAAAACATTCATATATATACAGACATATCTATATCTATATCTATATCCATATCTATATCTATATCTATATCTATATCTATATCTATATCTATCTATCTATCTATCTATCTATATATATATATATGTATTGTGTGTGTGTGTACCTACACTGAGCACTATTTATGTTCCTTCCCACAAAAATCTTATGTTGAAATCCTAACCCTCAAAGTGATGTTTTAAAAGGGTGAACTTAGAGTGATCCTTGAGATTATGTGAGGCCATGAGGGTAGGGGTCCCCAGGACTTCTTAACTTGTCAGAAGACTTCAGAGGAGTTCTTTCTCTCAACAACATGTGCACACAAAGAAAGGATGACTGTCTTGACTTTGATGACTGTCTTGAAGTCATGGAGAGGGCTCTCACCAGAACTCACCCTTGCTGGCACCCTGATATGAGACTTCCATCTATGACACAGTTTGAAAGAAATACCTGTGGTTTAATCTATCTACTCTATGAATTTTGCTATTATTTGAACTGAAATAATTTGCTTAGGTTGATCAACTGAAGATCTTGTTAGACTTTTGTTTAAATTAGATATAAAGAAAAGGCAGTGCAAGATGAGACATGAGACTATTAGACATATTAACCAGTTTATTATAGGCCCGGCAGAGTAGAGAGAGTAAGAAAGAAGAGAAACAGGGTTAATGGCTGACCACCATGGCTGGTCGCCAGAAAGAGAGAAAGAGAGAGAAGAGTAGAGGAGGAGGAAGTAGAGAGAGGAGTAGAGAAAATAGAGAGAGCATAAATGGGCAGGGGTCTGTCTTTTAAAGGGGTCCTTTGCACCTGTGTGCAGACTTATTTCCCATGGAACCCTGGGCCTCCCAGGATTCCCCCTGAGTGGATTCTGCCAGGTAACAGGGGCAGGCCAGCATAATGCCTGAACCTTTCAATCCTACCTTTACTTATTATTTTTTTAAAAAGATGGGTTGTTAGACATGGCAGATTAAGGAATAAGTATGTCAAATTCTCAAGACTGCTTTCTGCTGTCGTGGGGGGGCTTTGACCATCTTTGGGGGACCTGAGAAGGTTGGGGTGCTGCCACGTCCTGGGGTAGCTGGTTGTTTCATCACAGTCCAGGCTGTATGGAACTCCCTTAGGAGCCTCTTAGACCTGGCAAGATGTTGGCAGAGCAGAAGACAAGGTTAAGTTTAGAAAAAAATAATTTCTTAGGTCCTGGCACTTGAGGGGAAGATTGTGAGATGAGGGAGGGTTTCCTAAAGGGGTCCCAACATGAGGGAAGGGAGTCCTGGGACCAGGGAAAGATTGAATAATATTTATTTGGAGTGAATCTGATCTGTTTGTTTGGATCCAATTCAGCTTCTTGGAACTTACAAGAATCCTTAGAGTTTATGGAAACATAAGTATTAGACACATTAGCAGCATATTCATGTTAGAAGTACCTTGGCTGAAAGAACTAACATTTTAAAATTGACAGATTTTTTTTTTTGGACAATGAAAAGCATCTTAATCTTGGCCCAGTAGTTATGATCATATAGTGGTATTGTAGAACTTTACTGACTATTAACAGCAGCATGAGAAATAGAGAAATCAGGAACATATTTCATTCTTTTTAATGTCTCAACTCACTTTATCATCACTTAAGCCTTTTTATCCTCAGACCTTCATAACTTTAATTCATGTACCTTACATTACCATCTTCGACCTTCCATTCTCAGACCTTTATACCTTCCATTCTCAGACCTTCATAACTTGCATTTATCCACCGTGTTAGGACTTTCCATCCTCAGACCTTTGTAACTACATTCCCAGACCTTCATATACTTTACACTTTCCTATCTTCACATAGATAAACCCTAAAACACCTGTTCCTGAAATCTGTTTTGCTTTGAGCTGGCAAGACTAACAGTCATCAAAAGCATCAGAATTCTTGAGAAGGATAAGATTTTACCAGGTTGGGTAGTAGTTCTCTTTCTGTGTCTGGCCTACTCTTCAAAATGTGTGGCCTTTAGGTCATCTGCGCTGTCAAAACAGAGATTCTTTCTCATTTTCAAGTATGGATAGCAACACTGTGTTTGTAAACATCACACCTCTATTCAGCTATCTTTACTAGGCAAGTAGATTGGATCTGAATCTTGGATTCTTTCAATACCAGTGATGCAACAAATGTGAGAATACAGATAACCCGTCTACATACAAGCACACACACATACACACGCACACGCACACGCACACGCACACACACTCACACTCACAGATATTATCATATTGCAGTTATAAGTCTGGTAAATTGCGGAGACATTTCTCCTGTTTGCCATGATGACTGTATTAGCTTAGTCTACATCTAACATGAAGGTTTTCCTCTCCTTCACACCTTTACCAACACTTGTTTCCAATAGTTTTGGCCTTTCCTAATGAGCAAGATGATATCTTCTTGGGTTTTGATCCAAAATGCCTGGAGGCTTAGTGACCATTGAGCTTATTTATTTATATTTTTATTGATTTATTTTGGAACACTCTGGAAATGATACATCTGGAAACAAGAAGGAGCTGGTGGGGACACATTGGGACCTGCCATAGACCACGCTAAAACCCATGACCCTTTACTCTACACAGTATATGCAAATATCAAACTCTTATTGTTTTATGTTTTATCCCTCACTTACTGTTGTGCCAGATGCTTGCAAATCATCATGTACACTGAAATTTTCCATTTTTCCATTTTTGTTACTCCTTGGCTTTCCTTGGGGATCTGAACTCTCAGTTTTGTGATGATGTTTGTCCTGAAAATTTATTTCCATTGTAAAGAATTTGCAAATAAAAAGCATCACACATTGAAAATCAAAATCAGCTAGAGTGCAGACTTCATTTCTACCTTTCTACTTGTGATCTCTGAAATTTTTCTTAAACCTGAAACCATGTATTTTTAGTTTTGAGCTCAATTTGAGTCTTTCATAAGAGGAAGTCACAATCATCTTTCAGACTACTTGCAAGGTTATTGTTTATATTATAAATTTAGTGATTTCCAATCAGCACAGTGCAGTCATATCCCTCTGAAAAATCAAAAAAAAAAAAAAAAACAAGAAGAAAAAACAGAATTACCCTACCAAACAAAAAGAATGTATTGTTGGCAGGAGTATAACATAAGAAGGGCACAGCATGGTGGGGAAATCTTTGTATCTTATCTTGCAGCCTTTTTGACTGATATCCAGTAGAAGCTAAATATTTGCTGATATTAGCTATACCTTTTGAGTTTGCCTAACAGGAGAATGGCAGCACATTAAGATGACACAAGATAATTTTGTCTCTACTTACAACACCCAATCTCCCTATCAGTAGAAGTCAGAAGGTCTGCAGTACCTTCACTATGGAGCCTGACTTTGCAAGTGACTGCAGTTCACAGTGCACTAACAGACATATTTAAAAATTATTTCTGCGACATTCTGAATTCTTCTTCAGCCACAGACAATTATGATAAGGATGTTCACTGACAGTCTAATATTACATGGTACTTTACAGACTAGAGGATTTTCAATTTGAAAGTTCCTTTTAGTCAGAAAATACCTATTTTACAAGTACACATGACTGTAAAAAGGAAGATGTGAGTTCTCATTTTTTCATTCTTCCCATCTATAATATTTAAAGTTCCTTTTTTGCCTCAATTTCCCTTTAGTTCTCATTTACTCACAACCTTTCAAGTTTTGTAGAAATTAATCTGTCTGTGCCTTTTGAGCCTCTCCTGTGACAAATTTATATTAAGAATTTTTTTTATTTTAGAAACAATATCATATTACACATCAATCCTCTCATTCCCTTGCCCTCTCATCCTCCCATGCTCCCCACCAATGCCCCCAACCCACCCCTAAGCCACTCCCCAAGGATAGTGAGGCCTTCCATGGGGGATCATCAAAGTATAACACATCATTTGGGGGGAGGGCCTAGGCCCTCCTTCATGTATCTGGCTGCAATAGTACCCCTCCATAGTGAATGGGCTCCCAAAGTCCATTTGTGCACTAGTAATAACACTGGCTCCACTGTTAGAGGTCCCATAGACTTCCTAGGCCTCCTAGCTGGCACTCATTTTAAGAGGGTTTGTTACTTCCCAGGCTGGTTCCCCAGCTTTACATCTAGGATCTCTGTGTCCTCACTAGGTCAGGTCAACTGTTTCTTTGGGTTTACCAAGCATGGTCTTGTCTCCTTTGCTCATCCCTTCTCCTTCTCTACAACTGGATTCTAGGAGTATGGCTCAGTGCTTAGCTGTGGGTGCCTGCTTCTTCTTTGATCAGCTACTGGATGAAGGCTCTAGTATGGCAACCAAGGTAGTCATCAATCTCATTATGGGGGAAGGACATCAAAGGCAGCCTCTCCACTACTGCCTAGAATCTTAGTTGGATTCACTTCCCTGTGGATCCCCGAAAATTTCCATAAGTAGTTTTGAGTCAGTGTTCATGAGGGATATTGGTTTGTAGTTCTCTTTCTTGTGTCTTTGTGTGGCTTGGGTACCAAGGTAATTGTAGCGTTGTAGAAAGAGTTTGACAATGTTCCTTCTGCTTCTATTGTGTGGATCAATTTGAGGAGTACTGGTATTAACTCTTCTCTGAATTTCTGGTAGAATTCTGCACTGAAACCATCTGGCCCTGGGATTTATTTTGGTAGGGAGACTTTTGATGATTGCTTCTATTTCGTTATGGGTTATATGTTTATTTAAATTGATTATATGTTCTTGATTTAATTTTGGTAAGTGATATCTTTCCAGAAAATTGCCCATTTTCTTTAAATCTTGAATTTTGTGGAGTACAGGTTTTCAAAGTATGACCTGATGATTCTCTGCATTTCCTCAGTATCTGTTGTTATGTTCCCCTTTTCATTTCTGATTTTGTTGATTTTCATGTTCTCACTCTGCTTATTAGTTTGGATAAAGGCTTGTCTATGTTGTTGATATTCTCGAAGAACCAACTTTTTGTTTTGTTGATTCTTTGTATTGTTTTCTTTGTTTCTACTTTATTGATTTCAGCCCTCAATATGATTATTTCCTGGCATCCACTCCTCTGGGATAAGTTTGCTCCTTTTTGTTCTAGACCTTTCACTTGTGCTGTTAATTCTCTAGTGTGACTGTTCTCAAGTTTCTTCATGTGGGCACTTAGTTCTATGAACTTTCCTCTTAGCACTGCTTTCAAAGTGTTCTATAAGTTTGGGTATGTTGTGCATTCATTCTTTCCTGTTGAATTCTAAGAAGTCTTTAAGTTCTTTTGTTTTCTTCCTTTACTTAGGAATGGTGCAGTTGTGCGTTGTTCAATTTCCATGAGTTTGTAGGGTTTCTGCTATTTGTGTTGTTGAATTCTAACTTTAAACCATTGTGATTAGATAGGATTCAGAGGCCTTTTCTAATTTTTTATCTGTTGAGGTTTGATACGTTGCCAAATATGTGGTCAAATTTTAGAGAATTTCCCTGTGGTGCTGAGACAAAGGTATCTTTTTGTGTTTAGATGGAATGTTCTATGGATTTCTGTGAATCCCAATTGTGTCATAATTTCTGTTAGTTGCTTTGTTTCCTTGTTAACTTTCTATCTGGTGGTCCTGTCTAGTGGTGAGAGTGGGGTGTTGAAGTCTCCCACTATAAGTGTGTGAGGCTTTATGTGTGATTTGAGCTTTAGTAATGTTTCTTTTACAAATATGGGTGCCTTGGTATTTGGGGCGTAGATGTTCAGAATTATGACTTCATCATGATAGAATTTTCCTGTGATGAATATCAAGTGATCTTCATCTCTTTTGATTGTTTTTAATTTGAAGTCTAATTTGTTAGATATTAGGATTGCTATACCAGCTTGTTTCTTGGGTCCCTTTAATTGGAAAATCTTTTCCCAGTCCTTTACTCCAAGGTCATGTCTGTCTTTGAATTTGAGATGTATTTCTTGTATGCAGCAGAAGGTTGGATTCTGTCTTTATATCCATTCTTTTAGTCTGTGTCTTTTTATAGGCAAGTTAATACCATTGACATTGAGAGATATTGATGACCATTGATTGTTGATTCTTGTTTGTTTTGGATTTGTTGTTGGTGGTGGTATTTTGCATGGATATCCCCCCTTTTTCTTTTTGTGTTTGGTAAATTGGGATTATCTATCGCCTATGTTTTTGTGATTGTAATTATCTTCCTTGGGTATGAGTTTTTCTTCCAGTACTTTCTGTAGGGCTAGATTTGTGGATATGTATAGTTTAAATCTGGTTTTGTTATGAAATATCTTGTTTTCTCCATCTATAGGGATTGAAAACTTTTCAGGGTGCTGTAGTCTAGACTGGCATCCATGTTTCCTTAGCATTTGTAGAACATCTCTCCAGGGCCTTCTGGCTTTCAAAATTTCCATTGAAAAGTTGTTTGTAATTCAGATAGTTCTTCCTTTATATGTCCCTTGCCTTTTTTTTCTTTTGCTACTCTTAATATTCTTTTCTTTATTCTGTAAGTTTGGTGTTTTGATTATTCTATGGCAAGGGGACTTCTTTTTGTGGTCCAGTCTATTTGGTGTTCTGTAAGCTTCTTGTACTTTCATAGGCTTATCCTTCTTTTTATTGGGGAAGTTTTCTTGTATGATTTTGTTGAATATGTTTTCTGTAACTTTGAGCTGTATTTCTTCATCATCTCCTGTGTCTATTATTCTTAGGTTGCCCTTTTCACGGTGTCCCATATTTCCTGGAATTTTGTTTTAGGGACTTGAGATTTTCTTTGGTCAAGGACTGTATTTCCTCTAGTGAGTCTTCAATACCTGAGATTCTCTCTTCTGTCTCTTGTAGTCTATTGGTTATGGTTACATCGGTAGTTCTTGATTGTTTAGCCAGCTTTTTTATTTCCAGAATCCCTTAATTCTGTGTTTTCTTTATTGCTTTTATTTCAGCTTTCAAGCCTTGAACTGTTTGAATTGTTTCCTTCACTTGTTTGGTTGTTTTTCTTGGCTTTCTTTGCATTCTTTAGGGGATTTGTTTATTTCTTGAATTTTTTTGATTTGTCTTTTCCTACATTTTCTGTATTTTTGTTTGTTTTTTCTTCCATTTCTTTAAGGGATTTTCTTGTTTCCACTTTGATGGTCTCCAATATCATCATAAAGTTGTTTTTAAAGTCTTTCTTTTCTGGTTCATCTGCGTTGGGATGTTCAGGTCTTGCTGTTGTGGAATCCATAGATTCTGGTGGTGTCATATATTGGTCTGTCTGTTGTTGAGTGTGTTCTTATACTATTGTCTTCAAATCTGTTCTTCAAGTAGGTACATATAGTTGTACCAACCCGTGAGACAGCAACCTAAGGCAAGATATCCAGGGAGATGAATGGGGATAAGAGATGCAGAGAGAATGACCACAAGACAGGATTCTGATCAAGTGACAAATTTTATTTTTTCCAGGCTAGCTCATATAGTCAGTAGTGTGGGGTAAAGGGGAGGGGGAGAAGAGGCCAAGAGCCAGGTGTTAGTTTAAGCAGGATGTTAGAAAACCATAGAAGGAGGGTTTGGGCATCATAAAAATTTTATGGATGGTGGGGAGAGGGAGGGTTGTTTCTGTAAGTGGGCCTGTGGTTGGAACTCACCTCAAGCAGAGGGTGGAGATCACAGCCTCTCTTTTAACTATTGACTAATAATTATTGACCTATATATTTCTACATGGCCTTATCTTACCTGGGAATGCCCAGTGTCTTATATCCTGGTAGCTACATGCTATCTCTCTTGTGGTTTCCTCTCTACTTCCTCTCCCCAGCATTCTCCTAGTCTGGAAGTCCTGTCTGTACTTTCTTCTTGGCTATTG